GGAACACAAGCAGGGGGAGTGGGAGAGGGAGAAGCAGGCTTCTCGCTGAGCTGGGAGCCCGATGCGGGGCTCGATCCCAGGACCCTGGAATCATGACCTGAGCCGAAGGCAGTTGCTTAACCAACTGAGCCACCCAGGCGTCCCCATCCTTTCAAAATTTTTACAGCAAAAAAGTATACTTAATGTGCTTCATTTTAATGTTTGATATGATATGGGATGAAACTTTTTTAAAAAACATTTTATTTATTTATTCATGAGAGACAGAGAGAGAGAGCCAGAGGCAGAGGGAGAAGCAGACTCCCCGCTGAGCAGGGAGCCTGATGTAGGAGTCGATCCCAGGACCCTGGGATCATGACCTGAGCCGAAGGCAGACGCCTAACCAAATGAGCCACCCAGGCACCTGGGATGAAACTTTCAAAGTAAGAGTGCTTAATTAAGATCAACAAAGACATTTAAATGACCCAGTCTAAGCCCCTGAATTCAGCCTAGAAAAGGGGCAGGGCTCCAATCGTGGGTAAGATAATATTTAAGGAATTTATAGGAAATAAAAAGTGTGCTGCATTTCTCCTGCTGTCCTGTTTTACTCTCTTATTTGTAACCAGACTTGGTTATTTTTTCCCCTCCGTATTTATTAGGCAAGATAATCCCAACACACAGGCTACACTCTTGTGTGCTCAAGATCCATGCTTTCACTTCTAGCTTTGCATGGCCTCATTTAGAAACTACCCCACTGAGGGGCGACGCCGGGAGAGGCTCACGGCAAACATATTTAGCCTGAGCACCAGCAGCAGAGCACTTAATGCTGTGAAGGCAGCCCACAGCCAAGGAAATAATAGAGCAGGAAGAAATCAGAAAAACAAGTTGGTTTGGAAGAGCTCCACCCAAAACAGGATCCCGCCCACCTAAAAGCCAAGTTGCCAAGCTAGCATTCTGCTTGCCACACGAGTTGTATGTTTTATTTTGTTTTGTTTTGTCTTTTTTCTGGCACAGAGCACTCGTGATTCCTTCTTAACCAACAGGGATGATATAATTCCCTAATCTCTGCGCATAATTTTCACAGCCGATTGGAATGGCGTGGCTGGAGGTCCCCACCACCCATGCTTCGGAGACGAGGTGAATAGGCACGGCTTCAATAGGGTGCCTCCTCCACCACTTCTAGATCCCATGAGTACTTGGGTTATTTGTGGGTTTGGTTTTGAAAGCAAGCAGCCCCGGGCGCCTGGGTGGCTCAGTCGTTAAGCGTCTGCCTTCGGCTCAGGTCGTGATCCCGGAGGCCCGGGATCGAGCCCCGCATCGGGCTCCTTGCTTGGCGGGAAGCCTGCTTCTCCCTCTCCCTCTCCCCCTGCTTGGGTTCCTGCTCTCGCTATCTCTCTCTCTGTCAAATAAATAAAATTAAAAAAAAATAAAATAAAAAGAAAGCAAGCAGCCCCTGGGCATACCGTCACTGCTCTGTAGGACAAATTACTGAACACGCCAGTAATCACAATAATGGGCCTTCAACTGGGTTGGTATCCCAGACCTCTCCTCGAGGGGGAGGAAATAAGCCCTGTGGTCACATCATGCAACACTTCTGGCAGGGCTTCCTGGCTTCCCAGGAACTAGCAAGAAAGGCAATGTGTGGGCACAGGGAAGCAAATGAGGAAGTGAATAATGTTCTAACAAGAAATAGGAGCCTCAGCTTGTTTGGCTGTTCTTAGAATATTGGCCTCGGACCAGCAAATGTGTGCATGAGCATTTTCTGCATCTGCTACCCCAGGTATCTTGCCTTTCTCTTTTTCTTTCTTTTTTTTTTTTCAGAAAACTTAAATTTTATTTCAACGGATCCACATTATCCAATTAGAAAGAGAAGGGACTTATTAAAATGTACCCAAACTAAGGCTTTCCAACTAGAACATTAACTTAGCTTGCCCAAGTTTGCAGATGACATGATCTGATATGTCTCTCAACTTCATAAATGCAGTTTTAACATGAAAGCAAACTTCAAAGATTTTTTTAGTATGTTTTTCCTGTATATTCAGCAACTAAGATTGACAATTAAGGGTCTTTTTTTTTTTTTAAAGATTTTATTTATTTTTATTTGACAGAGACAGAGACAGCGAGAGCAGGAACACAAGCAGGGGGAGTGGGAGAGGGATAAGCAGGCTTCCCACCAAGTAGAGAGCCCGACGACGTGGGGCTCCATCCCAGGACCCTGGGATCATGACCTGAGCTGAAGGCAGTCGCTTAACCAACTGAGCCACCCAGGCGCCCGACAATTAAGGGTCTTAATAAATGGTTGTTTCAAATTAAAGAGATGTTATCTAAGAAAACTATGTTAACCAAACTTTAGGAATCTGTTATCAGAAAGGAAGTTATTTTTGAACTTGGATTCAGTTAATAGCAGCAAAGAATGATTGACAGGTTTGATTGCTGCCAATTTCCATCTCATACTGTCCTGCTTCAACATCCAAAAATTTCCAGGGCTTGGGCATTGTCTACAGAAGCCCTCAGGACTCAACATCCTCTACAGGTCTTTTCTGCTGTGCTTAGACGGTGGCTTTCTTTATCCTGCTACCAAGATCATTCCTATTCCAGTTATCACAGTTGTGTTCTTAAAAATTTCTTTTTGCGCTGCTCACCTCAAGGTCAGTTTTTGCCACAATCACCCGTGGTAAGTGGAGGTGTGGAAATATTGGTCTGCATTCCATTCGTTCCCTGACCTCATTTCTTTCTACTGTCTTCCTTGCTTTCTCTGCTCAGGTCCCCATTCTCTTCTTGTATGAATGAGAAGTATGAGGGAAGAACACTTGGAACTTCGTTTGTTCCCTGTTATTTACTGCAGGGATGAAAAATCTGGGTAGGTGAAGCATGAAGCCAAGAGAAAGACCTTTTTGCACCATCTACCCCCTCTCTCACTACTGCTTAGCCTATAGATTACAATTTCAGAGTTAGGAATGATTTAAGAGACTCATTTTCTTATCTATCTTTCTTTCTCTCTGTGTTTCTGACTTCTTTTTCTGTTTGTCATTAGGGCTGTAAACTCAGAAGTCCAGCTCCTATGAACCTTGTTGCCCAAGAGGATTCATGAAAGGTACTCCTCCCTAAAAGCCACCCGGAATTGTCTTCTACCCCTTGGTTCTAAAAAGGACCTTTGCCCAAAAAGCAGTGTTTTATATGGAATGGGATCCTAAATGGAAGAATTGAAATTCCTTGGATAGGGATGACTCTCCAAAGAAAATCATAGCCACTAATCGTAACTGTCATCATCATTTGTTGCCACAGAAATATTTAGGAAAACCTATTCTGACCTTTTGCTTACTATTACTTAAGAAGAGAGTTACCTTTGATGATGAGATGAAAGTCCTTGGTCTCCACTTGCAGAGATGAATTTGCAACACAGCTGTAGGTTCCATTGTCAGATTTCTTGACTTTGGTGATTGACAGTTGAAGAGACTCACTTGTCTGATGGACTTGGTAAGTTTTCTCTAAATTCAGGATGTTGCTGTTTCTGTACCACATCATTTGAGCCTGGGGGTTGGATTTCACACTGCAAACCAACTTCACATCACTGCCTTCCTCAACTGCTTGGAAGTCATCTCCACTTAGAATAGGGGGGACTGCAAGACTCAAGCATTTAGGTTGAATTAGCTGATAAGCAGTAGTTTACTGTCAACGTTCAAGATCTTCCTTCAGTCTATCTCATGTAGTCATCCATTCATTTGACAAAAATTTATTGAGTATCTACTATGCCAAGCACTGGACTAGGACTCAGGGATCCAATGGTAAATAACATATATCCAGTTCCAAACCTCATAGAACTTCTATGTGGTAGAGAAGATGAACTGTGAAACAAACGTATATAATAACGAATCTGGGGCGCCTGGGTGGATCAGTCATTTAAGCGACCGACTCTTGGTTTCGGCTCAGGTCGTGATCTCATGGGTCGTGGGATCAAACCCCACATCTGGCTCTACACTCAGGGAGGAGCTTCTGCTTGAAGATTCTCTCCCTCTGCCCCTCCCCCACTTGCAGGTATGAGCACTTTCTCTCTCTCAAATAAATAAATCTTTAAAAAAAATAATGGGAGGCACCTGGGTGGCTCAGTTGGTTAAGTGTCTACCTTTGGCTCAGGTCATGATTGCAGGGTCCTGGGATTGAGTCCCACATGGGGCTCCTTATGCAGTGGGGAGTCTGCTTCTCCCTCTCCCTCTGCCTCTCCCCCTGCTTGTACTCTCTCTCTCTCTCAAATAAATAAATAAATAAATAAATAAATAAATAAATAAAATCTTAAAAAGAGAAATCAGAAGCAACTATATGAAAAAAGAAATAATTAAAAATAATAAATAATAATGCGTCGGGGTGCCTGGGTGGCTCAGTCAGTTAAGCGTCTGCCTTCGGCTCAGGTCGTGATCCCAGGGTCTTGGGATCGAGCCCCACATCAGGTTCCCTGCTCAGCGGGGAGTCTGCTTCTCCCTCTGCCTGCCGCTCCCCCTGCTTGGGCTCTCTCTTTCTGTCAAATAAATAAAATCTTTTTAAAAAATTTTAAGAATAAATAAAATAATGAATCTGTATCAAGTAGAAGATTTATAACACTACATAAGAGCATAAGCCTTGAGTCTTTGCTCTCTAAAACCAATCTGCACTAATATGTTGGAGAAAACAGTATAATAGGAAGAAAGCAGGAATTGCAGCTGTCCCTAATTCCATCTACACCACTTACTGTGACCTTGAGAAAGTTACTTAACTGCTAAGTAACCGCTCAATTTCCTCATCTAAAAAGTGGGATGATACCTTTCCCTGCTGTAGACATTAAATGAAATAACGCCTGTATAGCATTTACCACGGTGCTAGTTACTATCATTGTGGTGGCGGCGGCCATGGTGGTTTTGAGGTGTCCTTACATCCTCTATTTTTGCATGTTATCGAACCACATTTGCCCTGGCCATATCTACAGTGCCTACTTGCATTTCCTCAGTGATCCTCTAGAAATAATGTCCTCCTCCCAGAAGGTGTTCCAATCATGGCAACTCTGACATCGATGGAAGGTATGACCTTCTGAGTCTCCCTCATCCCTCTGTGTGAGCAAGTCCTTACTCCCTCCATGATAAGGGCAGTCGTAGAGACATAGATACTTGAACACATTTATCTTCACCAAATAATTCCAACTCACCCCCACCTGGGCTTTCCAACATGTAGGAGGAGAAATGGCTGAGCTGACTCTTTTTCTTCTCCATGCCCCTTGCGTTTTAAGGTCAAGGTGCAGAAGTGTAATAAAGTGCTTGAAAAGTGGGCAGTAGGAAAGAGATAGAGGTGGAGAAGAGGAAAAAAGGAGCTTGTATAATCTGCACACTGAATAATTAGACCCTGAGTAGGCTGTGCTATTAATAACTCAGAAAAGTGACATTTTGTTGCTCTTTGGAATGAGCTTGAAATTCTGTATCCATATCCAACGAGGATGTTATATGGTATTCAGATATGTAGGAAGCTGCGAGAATAGATAACATAATTACCATATATACCATAGGGCCTGTGGACATGTCCTATTAGTTGCTACTTTTTATTTAACTATTTAAAGTTAATTGTGAAGCTGTGAAGCCTGTCAGCTATACATAAATATTCCCTTTTGCAAAAATTAGTACATTTCGGATAAAGTTAAGATCCTCTTTGACTCCATCTTGTTCACTTCCCGGCTCCCCAAAGATGCTCACTGCTATGAGTTTGATGTAAATCCTTGCAGATTTTTTTTTAAAAAAAACCAGTTTTTTATATACATATAATGTACCAATAGGAAATACATTGTATTGTTTTAGGAGGCTTATATAAAAGACTCTATACTCTCAATAGCTTGCATGTTTTTGAGAGATATATCCACATTGAACCACAGAGATCTAGCTCATTGTTTTAGAGTGATACCATGTAATATAGGACTTTTTAATCATTTTACTTGATGGGCATTCTTTTCTTCCTTCCTTCCTTCCTTCCTTCCTTCCTTCCTTCCTTCCTTCCTTCCTTCCTTCTCTTCTTCTTCTTCTTCTTTTAGAGAGAGAGAGTGTGTGTGGGTGTAGGGCCAGAGGGAGAGGGAGAGAGAGAATCTTAAGCAGGCTCCAGACCCATCACAGAGCTCCACATGGGGTTCCACGCAGGGCTCGTCGGGGTGGGGGGGGTTCAATCTCACAACCCTCAGATCATGACCTGAGCCAAAATCAAGAGTCAGTCACTTAACCAACTGAGCCACCCAGGCACCCCTAGCCAAACCAATTTTAAAAAGGCAAATAACCCAATAGAGAAATGGGTAAAGGACATGAGCAGGCATTTCGCAGAAAAGAAACATGAACAGCCAATACATTTATGAAAGGGTGGACACCCTCATTCTTAATTTAGAACATGAAAATAAAATTTCACATCAGGCTGGCAAATTCTTAGAGTTTGAGGATACTCAGTGCTCATGAGGGTGTAGGGAAATAGGCACCCTCGTGCATTGTTGTGGGAGCATAAATAGGGCAATGAGGCAACACCAAGCAAATGTGAAAATGCACACACTCTTTAGTCCCAGGTTTCAAGTACCAGTTAATATAGTGCAGACAACACAGACTAGCAGTTTCTTCCCCCTCACTCACAAATGACATTCAGCACCACCGAGACGGACACCGACTGGTCGCTCTGCAGCTTGCAGGTAAAGGTGACTCCGTTGTCATTTTCACTGATGGAAGAGACACAGACAGAGCTGGAGTTGATTTTGTTTCCAGATTTCAAGTCCACTGTCCCCTCTTCTCGGTACCAGAGAAGTTCTTCCTCCCTGGTGTGGTTTTGAACAGCACATTTCAGAGATTCTTGGGAGCCAAGCCAAGTGTCCAGAATATAGTTCTCAGTTCTATCATTCACAGTTAAAACAGAACCTGGGAGGGCAGGAAAAAACTATTAACCTAAAGTGAATGATCTAAATGGTATAATCAGGAGATAGGTTAAACAAATCACATTACACAAGTGCAATGAAATACTCTGTAATAATTAAAAATAGTCATATTGATCTATATGATTTTACAAGGGAAAAGTTCCATAATGTAACTAAAAGAAGCAAAATGTTAAAATGATGGTTACCAGATTTTGCTACACATTGGACTCACCTGGGGATCTTTAAAAACACTGATGCTTGCTCCCACCCCCAGACATTCTGATTAATTGATATGAGTGCAATCTGGGCATTGCATTTGCAAAAAGCCTTCAGGCGATTCTAATGTGTAGTGAAGTTTGAGAACTACTATGCACAGAATTACCCCATTTACACACAAACACACACACGCACACACACATGCACACACACATGCATTTAAGAGGAAAAGTCTTGGGAAAAATCTCAGTGTGTACACTGAATAGGGTTGATAAAAAATAGAGAAAAAAATAGAGAAATGCTTTCCAGACTTAAACTGTTTACTTCAAGGGGTTGAAAGTAGCAAAGGAAGGGGGTGGAATTGGGGAAATACAAACGAAAAAGGACAACAGCAAAATTGAAAAATACTTAAGACACATTAGGTGAATAGGCAGAATGTAAATTACATCTCTAGTAATTACTGTAAGTATATAAAAATTGAATATGCAATTGAGTATGGACAAAAGCTGATTTGAAAAGATTTCTGATTAGGTGATGGGATTGTGGAAAATTTGGTCTTGCATTTCTGATGTTTGAACAATAATTGATGTTTAAACAGCTGTGGTTTGTAGCATAGATGAGTTGTTGTAGAGTAGATGATTAGAATATATAGCAGTTGGTCTTCATCTCTGATTTTCAGAAATCCATTCACTGTTAACATACCTGAATTTCAGTTCTTACTTCCCTGGTTCAGAAGCAAGTAACAGAAGCTAAAATTGCCTTTAGCTGCCACAGACTTGCCCCCGACATAACATTTGTTAATATAGTCTGTAAACATATGAACTTTTCCTTTAAAATGCATAAACTAGGGGCGCCTAGGTGGCTCAGTCATTAAGCGTCTGCCTTCGGCTCAGGTCATGATCTCAGGATCCTGGGATCGAGTCCTGTGTGGGGCTCCCTGCTCAGCAGGGAGTCTGCTTCTCCCTCTCCCACTCCCCCTGCTTGTGTTCCCTCTCTCGCTGTGTCTCTCTGTCAAATAAATAAATAAAATCTTTTAAAAATTTTTTAAAAATGCATAAACTACTGGTGAAAACAATGTGATTGCTGCCTAGTATTTTTTTAGAAATCTGGAAGAACATATAACAAAATGTTGTTGAGAGGTTATCTCTGGATGATGGAATTTAGTTTTCCTTATTCTTTTTTTTTATTAAATATTTTATTTATTTTGGGGGGGGACAGAGGGAGAGAGAGAGAGAAGATGCTCACACGTGAGCAGGGTAGGGAAGGGCAGAGAGAGAGGGAGAGAGGGAATCCTGAGCAGACTTCCCGATGAGCCTGAGCCTGACACAGGCCGATCCCACAAAATCAAGAGGCAGACGCTCAACTGACTGAGCCACCCAGGCACGCCTTCTTTACCCTTTTATATATTTCCTAATTTTGTTTTTTTACAAGGACTATGTATTACTTTTAAAATTGGGGTTTGTGGGGTAGGGGATCTACTTCCAGTTTGGGGGAGAGAACAAATGCAGGCAAGATTTTCCCGTAACTGGTATGCTCACATAAACAGAAGAGCTTATTTTGGATGTCATTACTAATGAAATGCATTAAAATGTAGAAAAACTCCGGCTGTGCTCTGGAGAGAATAGAATATTTACTCTGTCTTATAATATCAGAACCATAAAAATATTTTTCCATTTAATGTCTTATCATGTTGTCTGACTCCTCTACTCTGAGCCATACCAACTGTGTATTTGGAGATTTGGATTTTGGATTTTCCCAATGCCCACGAATCGTGTTTTAATCGGAAATGTTTATTTACAAAGAGACCAAAGGAATATCAACTTACTTGTCACCTCACAGGGCGGAAACAAAATCACTAAGAGAAGAAATCTGCACATTCTCATTAGGCCACTGATGTTCCACGCCATCTTTAACAAATTTACGTCTGATCTGCTGGGGGAGAAAGGGTGTAGTTGGTTCTGTACTTTGGTCTGTACTGAGTTTATGAACCTTCCTCTTGTCTATTATGCATTTAAAATAAAATCCCAGATGAGTCATCCCAACTGTAACAGTACTTTTCCTAGTTTTTAATTAAACAATCTTGTTCTGATTATTGAGTTCAAAGTACTTTTAGTATTAAGGATTTTTTTTTTTTAAGGCAAGAAAAAGAAAACCACAAGGAAATAGGCTATAAGATATAGGGAAGCTATAAGGCAGCCCTGGGGAAAGTGGAGCCAGTCTTCCCTGGGGAAATTGATAGAATATCATTTTAACAGAAAGAGAGAAGAAACTTGCTTCATTCACAGACAGTCTCTACTGAGCTGTAATAATTCTGATTTTGAAAGCCTCTCTTGGGCAATTTTTGTAAAAGTTGCTCTCTGCTAAAGAGAGTTTTTGAGACTGCTCCAAATTCCATAGACTCAAATGGTTCATACCCTAGAAAAGACTCAACTGCAACATGGTCTCTGGTCTGAAATCATGTTAATCTCCCTGCTTTCCCCCCTATCCCACCACCACCCTCCCCCTTGGAATACACATTCTGCTTAACCCAGTATAGATTAAAAATAATGGATAATAAAGTCCTCCATTTTCTTCCTTCTATGCTTTTGCTGCTGCTATCCCTCTCCCTAGATTCTTTCCATTTTATCTGGAAAAAACATGTATGTATTACCTCCTTTCAAGAGTACCACATGAATACAGTAGAAACACATGTTGAATGCTTTCTATGCAACAGGCACTGTGCTAAACACTCTACATATTTCTTTCAATCTCAGTGAAGTCCCTAACAACCCTCTTGAGGTCATTTCTAAAGGTTTGGAGAGATTATATAATTTGCCCAAGATCCTGGAGACAGGAAATGTCAGGGCTAGGATTCGAACTCTGGACTCCCAAGGCCAGACTCTTAAGCACCCTACTGCATAGACTGATATTCTCCTCCTTTAAGAAGCTGCCATTAATCCCTTCTGAGCCCTCTCCACAGACATTAGGGACTTGAAGTTTTGTCCCCTTAATACAAATATTAACCTTCAAGAGCTGGAATATAATTCAAATATTAACCTGCCTAGGACTTCTGTAGGCAGGCTCTGCTCCTCCCCATCCCAGGCCGGTCCTGACAGGAGCAAGCTTCATTCCTGCCAGACTCACCCTTTCTGACTGGCAACCCTACGTCAATATTTCAGTAAGATACATTTAGTACTAACATCAATTCTTCTGGGAAGCCTCGGTGGCTCAGTTGGTTAAGCATCTGCCTTCGGCTCAGGTCATGATCTCAGGGTCCTGGGATTGAGCCCGCATCAGGCTCCCTGCTCAGTGGGGAGCCTGCTTCTCCCTCTCCTCCCTGCCTGTGCTCTCTCTCGCTATCTCTGTCTCTCTCTCTCTCTCTCAAATAAATAAATAAAATCTTTTTTAAAAAAAATCAATTCTTTTGTAATTTTAAAACTTGCCAAACAGATTTCTATCTTAACACTATAACAGTGATGATTTCAGAATTTGGTCATTAATAGAGTTTTCTCAAGCACTGTCCACTGTAGGTGCCTAATAAGAACTGAGAGTGTGAGCTCCTTGGCAGACCCTACCCGGCCCTATTAATTAAGGAGGAGGATTAATGTCTCCCCTTCCCTTCCACCATACCAGACAGCATCCTTTCAAAATGAATTTCCTTTACTTGACTTGTTTTTAACTTTCTATACAAGACAAAGTTTTACTGCTTACCTGCTGAGCTCTGAAAAGTTGACTTCCTTGGCCAATTGTTCCTTCATCTGGAACCCTGAATCCTTCCCTGTTACCATCTTTATACTACTTGAATTTAAACACTTTATGACAGTAGAATCAAGTCAGCAAAATAAATTGGGTTCAAAGTCTGTTTCTTTTTATGGATTTGTAGAGAAGACACTAACTAGGAAAGACATCTTCAGATCTAAGTTTTCATGTGTCCCTAAATTACTAGGTGGGGCCACATATTGCTAACAGGGATGTAATTATTCCAGGAAAACCTGACCTTATGCAAAAATGTGTAACATATTTCACTGAACATTGCCATGTTCAAGTTAGATAATGCACCGGGCTTGGGTTACCGGTGGCAAGTAATACTTTTCCAGCATTATTTAAGTTGTGGAATCTTCCAATATTTTGGCTGCTGTGAAAACCAACCCTCTCCTCAGACTTACCCCCTTACCATTCTCAGGCTGTCAGATTATCAAAGTTATCTAACTTGAATATGGCGGCCAAAATATTGGAAGATTCCATAACTTAAATCATGCTGGAAAAATATTGTTTGCCACTGGTAACTCATGCATGGTACATAAGCTGTACTAAGCCAAGCATGACAGGGAAAAGTTTTTTTGTTTTTTTGGGTTTTTTTGTGGGTTTTTTTGTACAACACCTAGAAATGATTTATTTCCAGTGACTTTAGAACACAGTTCAGAGCCCTGCAAGGACAAAAAGAACTAAAAAGACATTTTAAATTTCATTCAGTCATTTTCTTGGTAATATTATTATTGGTTTTATTATTTGAAATTATTTTCCTTATAGTGAAGGATAAACACATTTTTGAGTTAATAACATTAAGAATCAAGAATTTTAGGGGCACCTGGGTGGCTCAGTTGGTTAAGCATCTGCCTTCGGCTCAGGTCGTGATCCCAGGGTCCTGGGATCCAGCCCTGCATCGGAGTCCCTGCTCAGCGGGGGGGCGGGGGGTGCGGAGTCTGCTTCTCCCTCTCCCTCTACCCCTCCCCCTGGTTTGTGCTCTCTCTCACTCACTCTCTCTCTCTCAAACAAATAAATAAATAAATCTTAAAAAAAGATCAAGAATTTCAGTATAAGAGAGAAAAAAAGACCTAATCAGAAAATCAAAGAACAAAGTAAAACACTAATGGTAAACAGAATTGAAAACGATTTTTAAAAATGCAGTCTTTTTCTAGGTATACAGCTTGGAATGGCTGGAAACACTGCCAATCCGGTAGAAAAGAACTCCTAGTACCTAGAATCTGGACTTTAATATCATTCCTCACTACAATGAACTAGGACTCCTTGAAGAAACAGCTGATATCAGGTCTGGGGCAGGAGAAGTACAAGGTGAACCAGGGAGATCTCAAGCCAGAAAGGAAGGAAATTTTTGAAGATTAATGAGATCCTATAAGGCAGGGAAAAGTTTTATCCCTTTGAGGCCCTCACATGTTTAGGGAATCCTTGTGTTACACTCTCAAGAATCAGCAACTGAAGAGAACGCTTTTGTTTTTTTAAAGATTTTATTTATTTATTTATTTTTATTTGAGAGAGAGAGAGAGAGAGAGAGAGAGAAACAGCATGAGAGGGGATAGGGTCAGAGGGAGAAGCAGGCTCCCCGCTGAGC